CTCTCTCTCTCTCTCTCTCTCTCTCTCTCTCTCTCTCTCTCTCTCTCCTCTTGTCTTTTCTCTACCCCCTACCCATCTAGCTCGACTTCTCTCCGTCATCTCTTTCCATGTCTATTATTACTGCTTTTCTATCTCTGATTGTTTTAAACACTATTACTGTTGTTGTTGTTACTATCACTATTATTTGTGTGTGTGTGAATGTGTGTGTACCATGTGTACATTTTACTACAGAAGCCAGACAGTTATAAGCCATCTCCCATGGATGCTCAGAATTGGATTTAGATTATCTCTAAGAGCAAGTGCTCTTAACTGCGGAACCAGTTTTCCTCCTCTCTATCTCTTAACTCACCTATTACTTCTTTGAGAGTTTCACATATTCATAGAAAATATTTTAAACATATTCACTACTCACTACGCACTCATCCCCTTAACCTCTTAGAGATCCATACCCCACTCCATCCCCCTCCTCCTCCTCCTCCTCCTCCTCCTCCTCCTCCTCCTCCTCCTCCTCCTCCTCCTCCTCTCTCCCACCACCCCAATATAACCCAAAGAGTGCATAGTGCAGTCTGTGTTGGCCATGTACTCATGAATATGCTGCCCTTCATGGGAATGTGGTTGACCTAGCAAGGGCCATACCCTTAAAGAAACTTACTCTCTCATCCCCAAGTTTAATCAACTTTTAATGGCCCCTCAGCTAGGAGTGAGGGCTCATAACCCCCATCCCTACCCCATGCACAGGCAGGCAACCACAACTGGTGTTTATGAGTGCACATGCTATCCTATCATGTTTAGAAGACAGTTTCACTCTAGTCTTCCATGATCCTTGGGTGTTAAGATCTCCCTTTCTTCTATGATGATACCTGTACCTTAGAGGGAGAGATTTGATATACACCTTTCATTTGGCACCAAGCACTCCATAGACAATTATTTGTACTTTGGCCAATTATGAGTTTCTTTGATAAATCCCTTCCTATGTGCAAGAAAACATCTCTAGTGAGGTTCTAGAGCCACACAAACCTAGCGGTAGAGAGTTACAGATTTGGAGAACAGTTGGATACTATGTCCTTTAGGAACATAGAAATAGTAAATTCATCCATCCCTGTGGCCTATGAGCTCCACACACATGAGTTCTTACTCAGGTTTACAGTATCAGTCTGGCATTTTGCCCTATAGAATGGATTAGTTTGTTGCTCACGTAATATTCATACAGCTGTTGCACTCTCATGATTGTATCTTGCCATACTGGTAAATCACAGAGTGCACAACTAGGTAAGATGATTGAAGACCTTTTCCTTTATCAGCTGCAATAATACTGTATGACATAATACTCTATAACAAAAAAGAAGACTATTCTATATCCCTTCTGATATTGGGATTTAAAATATAGAGAATTATTGTATATAGAAAAAACAAGGCAGCTACCTGGAAGAACTGTGATTTCATCAAGCATCCAGGAATAACCATCCCCTAGAGAGGTCAT